TTCCTTCTTTCCTTCTTTCCTTCTTTCCTTCTTTCCTTCCTTCCTTCCTTCCTTCCACAATTCTCCTGCCGTGTTTCCACGCCCGCAGCGAGTGTCCAGCCACGCTTTGGTGGGTGTGCATTTGGGCTCAGAAGAACCCCCCCCCCCTCAGCATCGTGCTGAACCCTCATTCCCTTTACCAAAGCACAAGAGCAAGGCTGTGCTTGTTTTTCCAGATAAGTTGGCTGCTTTATCTGGGGGCCTTGAACAAGCTGGGAACTCGGGAGCAGTTCGTCCTATCGTTCGTTATAGTTTGTACCTGGTCAGACATCCAGCTGCGAAGGGAGGCAGAACTACCGAGGCAGGCCCCAAAATTAGCCACCCGAGCCAAACACCTTTCTTGGTGAAAATTGGTGAACTCTTTTTTTTCCCCTTTCCTGCACCCCACTGACAAACTAGCATTTCTTGCCTTTTAAATCCATGCATGGCACAGAGAAGGTGCAATAGGACGATACGGCCACCTGAGGGCAGCAGAGTCCATGAGAAAATCCCCTTATTTCTACAGCTCGCAGAGTTTAAAATTAAAGCCTGGGCTGGCTGGAATGGGCGAAGGACTCACCGGCAGCGTGCGGCTCCCGTGCAACGTGTTGATGGCTGCCTGGGCTTCGGCGTGCATTTGGAATTTCACAAAGGCACAGCCTGATGGAGAAGAACGGGGAGAAAACAAGAATAATCAAAGGCGGGAGCGCGTTCCGCAAAACCAGAGAGAAATGAAATGGTGCCAGGGCTAGACCCTGGACACACTGCAGGACGGTGAGGAACTGCATTTGTTCACACTTTGCTCTGTGCGCTTCCCTTTTCTACATATTTATTTTTTTATTACATTTGCACGCTGCCCATCTCCCCCAGGGGGTGGCTCACGGTTAAAACCAAAACCCCACGAACAATGAAAAGTCATCCCAGATAAATCATTGAAATGAATCGATTAATTAAAGCCAGACTGTAAAAAATAGAGAATACATATGTAGAAAAAAACAACTCAGTCCTGAAGAAAACGAAGAATTGCTTTCTTTCCTACTAGGCACCACGTTCTGGCGGGATGGGAGGTTCCTTATAAAGTGGAAAAGTTTCCAAGCTGGGCATTTTATGCTTCTAAGTTGGAAAGGTGATGATTTAGAAATACTCTAGTGCACCCATCTGCTGAGGGAATAAAAATTAATCCACCCCACTTTTACATTTCCGCTTCGGGATTTTTGCAGAAAGCAAACCAAACTCGTTTTTCCTAAAGCGAGCGTGCAGACATAGCTTTCCAAGCATCTCCCTTCATCTCCCTTTCAGGTGCTCTCCTGAAAGCTCGCTCGGTTTCTCCAAGCGGCAACCGTTTTAAACCTGACCAAACTCTTAGTTTGACAAAAAGGGGGCTTAAGGTACAGTGTAACTCCAAAAAGACGCCAAGGCGCACTTTAAAAACTGCTAGAGTTTCTATCCATCCCGGGTTTTCTTCCAGAACAGCGGATCACAGAGCAAGGAGTTGCTGGGTCAACCTGGAAACAAGGAGCCGGAAGAGGAGGAGAGGGCACGGCGGCCGTCCACCCACCTTTGCTCGTGCCATCCGGACCTCGGAGCACCGTGCATTCATCGATGTTCCCAAAAGGCTCAAACATTTTCCGGACGTCTTCATCCGTTTGTTGCTTGCCCAGCATCCCTACAAACAGCTTCCTGTCTTCTGGAAGACAAAGAGACAGGAAGGGACTCAGAGAAAGGACTTTGCCGATGACCAGTCCTCTCCTCTGATCGGTAGAGCGAGAGAGGCTCGAAATCTTGGGCGGCCCGTGCTAAAATATAAAACAGAGGCCCTCCTAAAAGAGCCTAGCCCATCAACGGGTCGGGTTGGTCCACCCACCCCAAAAGGTGGAAGGAAATCATACCTCCTCTGCTTTCGCTGTCCGCTGGCTTCACCTGGATCGGTCGGTTCATCTGGAAGAGAAGGATGAGGATTGAGCCCAGAGCATCAGGTTTGGGTTATCAGCTGGTGATATGCCTCAATGCCACGCTTGGAGAGAGCTGACCTGAACAGCCCTGCCTCATTCTCCTTCCTGCCTTCATCAGAGCCCGAATCTTTTTTAGAAGCTAAAATGGACGGAAGAGAGCCTTGGGCTGATGCTAGAAGGGCCATCCCCAGCTGGCCTTTCTGGAGGCCTTCAAAATTCCCAGAACCAGCTGGCTAGGAGGGGTGGGTGTCCTTGTCGCCCAAATCCTGAAGGCAGCAGGCGGGGGGAAGTTGCCTTGGGCTAACTTTCCGGGCCGGCACCACCCACATGCAGCATTTTCCAAAAAGGCCCCTTCGGCGGTGTGGGTTTCTTTGAGCCGAGGGCCGGTTGCTTTTTCAAGCAAAGTGTTGGCCGTTGTGTCAAAAGCCAGGCAACACGGAGTGGAGGAAGGCCCCCTTGCCAGGAGAGGACAAGTGAACCAAGGAGAACATCATCTTGAAATGTCCACTATGATGATATTGTGGTTATCCATATTCTCCCTGGCTGGCCATCCCCACGAGGAAGAAGCATTCGAGGGGGCAGAGCACCCCAAAGGGCTGCACTTCCTCCTCGTCTTTGGCCACTGGTCCAGCCCACCCTTGAGGAAACATCTCCTGAGGATGCAGTTTCAGTCTGACTTGGGCCATCGCGGGGACGTCTCCCCAGAGAGGGTCCAGCTCGGCTGTTTGCCAGCTGGCGACCCTCGGGAGAGCACGGAGAGCTCCCGTCTCTTCGGCTGGGGGCGCGCCACGTCACGGGAGAGGCGGACCGACCCCAGCTTCCATCTTGCTTTTCCGCTTGGGTGGGCCGGCCGGCCCTGCAAATCGAGGAGCCCCAGAGCGTTTTCTGGGGATAAAAATGAGAAAGAATAAAATGGAAAACCACCAAGAATGTTGGTGGTTTTCCTTCTATTTCTCCCTCTGACTTTCTTACTTCAGAAAGACTGCCACGTGTCTCTCTTGCCACTGAATCCACCTTTGCGGCACATCAACAAGGCTTGCGGGATCTTAAAGATGAGCAGAGGTGGGTCTCTTTGGCGGCTCCAGATCAACACGCCTGGCCTTCTTTTAGAAGCTAAATCAAGGGATCTTCTACACAGCCTCCCTTCGGGCTGGGCTATAAAGTCTCTGGGACTGCAATTCTGTTCTCTTGCACGCCGCCACGGTTATGAAGGCGAATTAGCCCGTATCAAATGATCACGTGCCGTGGAAAACCAGTTTAAAAAGGTACTAAAACCAAAGCTCCTTTATCAAAGCCCTAAAGAAGGCAGTTTTGCCGGCGCTGAGTCCCCCTGAATTTATTTGCATTCCTTCTGCTCTGGCTGACTTGCTCCCTGAGCTCCTTTCTGAAAATTAAAGGCTCTGCTCTCTGCTTTGGCCCTCGCTAGAACTCTCTCTGCTTGACTGCCACGCTGGACGATGCGCAGTTCTCCCCTTGGAAGCCATGTCTGCTGCCAGTCCCCCCAAATTAACAGTAGGGTTGGGGTTTTTTTTGAGCTGGGTGACCTATAAAAAAAGTACAGCACAGGCCAGAAAATAGGTCCTACGTCATTTATGAAGGAAAGAAAATCCTGCTTGAAAAGGAAGGCTTCGCCACCCGCCCACCGGAACCACAGCCTTAGACATGAAAAGATTGCTCTCCCACTTAGCAGATGTTTCCCTTTTTACACCCGCACACGCACGCACACAGACCTGTGAATTAAGTTCCTAGCAAGGTAACCCTGAACTCAAATGAGACCACAGAGGTAACCCTCTGAATCTGGTGGGGCAGTCAAATTTTTTTTTTTTCCCCTGGCAAATCGACCCAGATTTTATTGAGAAGACGTTCTTTCATATTAGTTGCTGGGTGCGCGGGCCACATCCTGTGTGCAGTTGGGGGACATTGAATCGGGATATTCCAGAGCTGGAAGAAGTTGCAAGAAAAGAGGAGGCTGGATTTCTCTCTCTTCCTCCTCCTCTCTTCCAGGGAAAAGCCTGAATTGGTTCTCTCCCCATAAGATTAAGATTTGGGGACATCTGGTGAAAAGGAGCAGTCCTGGGGCTGCGAGTTCCACTGGAGAACTTTCCTTCCTTCGGCCCTTATAACAGAAAACCCCTTTTTTCTACTTGAATGCAAAGCGGGCGAAATCGGCGAGTTCTTCGCACAACCCTTTGTTTAATCCGTGGGACTCCTTGCCACAAGGCGGGGCAGCAACTATTAACCGAAGGAGGCCTTGGAAAAGGATGGAAGACATTTGTGGAGGGGGAGGGAAACGTCAGCCAGGATACACTCTCCCCACCCAAGATTAATATAAGGGAGCCAGGAAGGGAAGCCAAATACAGTTTTTATTTTTATTTTAACCCCGTAGGCCTGGGCTCTGCTGGACTCGCTGGTCCAAAGCCATTTTCCGGCCTGGAAAAGACGATTCTGCAAGTCTAGAGAGCGGGCTAACCTCCCCGATTTGGCATCATGGAGGCGGAAATTCAGCAAGAATTTGGCACGTTTGAGAAAGGGTTGGACTATGTGATCTCCCAGACCCCTTTTAATCCTCCAAGACTCCATGATGTGTTTCCTGTGATGACGCAAAGCCATTGGGGGACCTCATTTCGTCCTCCTTCCCCTCCTCTGCACAGTCTTTGAGGTTTGGGGGGTTAAAAGCAAAGCACGCCTGGAAGGAGGTGGCTGTTACGGAATATTCCCAGCCATTCCAACTGCTGAAGGGGGAGGCCACCCCGACCCCGGATGAAAGACGGGGGAAACTGCAATGGAGGCCTAAACCAGGGTGCTCGGCCAAAGATGAGAAGCCAAAGGCCTCGAGATCAGATGGGATGGGGGAGGGAGGCAGAGGATGAAATGAACCAAGGGGGTTGCGCAGAGTCCTTTGGGTTGGTGGGGCTGGGGCGGGAAAAATGACAAAGAAGCCAGAAATGCCCTCTGCTTCGGTCTTTCTGTTTTCTCTCCTGAGCCAGATCAGGCTGAGCAGTTGGGGAATCCACCCCCAAGTTCTCCCTGAGGCTTTGAAAAAAAGAGAGCAATTTCCAAATGTCTTCTCTACCCAACCTCCGGAGACCTTCGGGTCGGTCGCAACAGCATCCTTTCGTCGCCGCCTCCTTCGGCAAGGAGAGGACGCGAAAACTCCCTCCTGCCTATCACAGCCCAAGAGGCAGGGATGAGGATGGGGTTGCCATGGCACCCCAGGCCTGTATCTTTCTTCGCCTCCGGTTGCCAAGTTATGCCCTGTTGCTACGGTAACCAGAGCAGCGGACAGGACCAGTCCTGACTCTCGCTGCCTTTCTCCTCTCTGCCACTCTGGATGCTACTGCTATTATTATTATTATTATTATTATTATTATTAT